GCGCAAAGTTTGCACGTTGCTTGTGTGATATCCATTGGCTCGCCTTCCTGGTTTAAAACAATTATTTACAATATTGCGACATTCATAGCTGCGGATTTGCGCTATGCCACTGGACTCCGTCCGTTAGTTAGCCTAGTGCCCGCTCACTTTTGCCCAGGCCCGCCCAAAAAAAATACAATTTAATTCTGGCTATGCCACTGTGCATTTCACAATGTTATCGAAGCTAAAGGCAGCCCAACAAAAAACTCCAGGCAGCACATCCAAAAGACTTTCACTGAGGTTAAGGTCAGGATAGGGAAAATCCCTTTTTTTCAAGGGAAAAGTAATTAAATTAGAGTAAAACATAGCTTAGTAATGCATTACACCCAACACTGGTCCTCATAAACCAAATGGCTTAAAAACATACACCCTGCAGTCGATTCATGTGATGTCAGTCACAGCTAATTGTTTACACAATGTAAAAGCAAACACTGACTCCTACCAACCCCCCCCCCCCATCACAATATTCAGATATGAGGATTTATTTTATAAGATTAATATTTTAATTGATATGTTTCTGATTACTTTCTGCTTTCAGAGGACCTTGAAGAAAATAAGAAATCTGAACAAATCTGTGAAGAAATCATTGGCATTGAAGGCACAGCTGATGAAGAGCCCAAAGAACAATGTCAGAAACAAAAGCACAAAATGAAAATGGCAAAAAATATGAAAATGAAAAGCTTTATAAAACACAGAAAAAATTCAAAATCTGAAGCTGCTCTCACCCCCGAAACACTGTTAGGTAAAATAGCACAATGGGTTGTAAATTGTAATGCTTGTAAATGAAAGAAAACAAGTTTCTTATCATCCTCTAATTTCTGATTTATACTTTAGAAGTGGACCTTGACACCATTGAAGGCATAGCAGATTCCCCTGGTGATCCTCAAGTGGAATGTCAGAAACTAAAAATCAGAATCAAAATATCAGAAAAAATTAAACGACTTGACTTCAAGAAACGGCAGAAGAATTCAAAATCCCCTGAAACTCCAACAGGTATAGTATAGTTAGAGAAAAAAAATCACTGTAAGCATAATACAAAGAGTAAATATTTTCCAGATATTATTTTAATAATTTGTTTTACCATTAGAACAATGACAATATTAATGCAATTCATACATTTAGTCTTCATTTCAGACTTGATGTTCAAAGTTTACATGAAAATGTACACAGTAATACAAATGTATAATGCAGCTGCTACATATATTTTATTATGGGTCTCTCACAATATGATCACTATATTAGAGGATCGTTGGCATCAAAAGTTAAAACTCCTTCTATACACATGAGAATTAGCACAAGCTAAGGGTTACTTTTCAGAAGTTAATATAATGTAATTGTCCTCTCATATAATGCAGTGAAGCTAGATTTCAATGGGAACCTTGAGCAGAACCGTTTGGCTGAAGCACAGCAGCAGCTGTTGGAAGCGGAGGAATGTCTCTTCAGTTCAAAAGAAGTGACCAGGGCAGAAGATGAGGAAGACAAGCTGCATACGGACTATGAGATCTTTATTTTGCGACTGAGATTGGTCATCCATGACTCTTTCAGTGAGGACAACCAGGAGACACTCAAGAGTGCTTTGACTTCAATACTTAAAGAGGAGGCACAGGACAGACGCTGGGCAGAAGTGGCCGTGGATCAGCGACCAATATGGAGGCCCACAAGGTGCAGAAAGATCCATGACACATTACTCCAGAATATCGTGGAGCAACGAATGAAGAATGCAGATGAACAGGAGAATAAAGCAGACAACCTGTCTACCTCCTTGAAGAAAGAGGTTTGCCGAATGGGCAAACGAGTGCAGAAAGACCTACTCAGGGTGGTCCGAAATCTGAGAGAGTGTTACCCACCAGATTTTGACATCTGCCGAACGTATGCTCAGCTCTACCATCAAGCATTTTCCACCAGACTCCAAGAGCTTGCCAGATCCAATATCAGTTTAGAGGAATGCCTCTATATATTGAGTTGGATTGTGGATTACTACCCAAAGTAAGGGCTAGTAAACAACATTACTCTTTCAAAAGCATGCTGTTTTACATAAATTTCCAGTTTCAGAAATGTTAATGTTCTTTAATGATTTTTCTTAGAGATGTACTGAAGCATAAAGAACTAGAGGAGCATATCAACAGTTCATCACTTGGACCTCTGTTACCTGAAGAGGATCTTAAGAGATTAGAGAAACAGTACTTCTCTTACAAAGAGGTGATTCAGAACATGACTGACGTTATAGCATCTGTAGCATGTTAGGATTAAAATGAGGCTCCCATTTGCAGAATTTGATTTTATTCTGCAAATAAAATGTTGATTTTTTTTTTTGAGTTTGCTTTTGACTGGACATGCTGCTCATATCTGGTGTAGATACAGTGCTAGTTAAGGTTCCTCTCTCTCATATCAGTTAATCCTGCATATTTTAGTTTATAATTCCTGTTGCTTATTTTCTCTCATCAGAATGAGATCAGAAAGTGGTTATCCAATGCTTTTGAGAAAGAAGTGAAAAAATGGAGTGATGACATCGAACCAGAGCTGATGGATGGATACTACTTCAGTAACTTTGCTGTAGATGTTTTACCAGTAGGTTATGAGCTCTACTGACTCTAACATCATCTTACTTTAATTATACATGTTGGGATCCTTAAACAGTGTCAACATTTTTTATAGCTTGTTGATGGGGCTGTAAAAGATGTCAACACACTTTTGAGCTGTGAACGTAAAGCCTGGAGTCTTCTAAACCAGCTGGACAGCTTTCTTCTGAGGTAGCTAACTAGTAACTATCATTGTCACATTCTCACATATGTAAAATCATAAGATTGACATGCTTTCTCCTTTTTTTCAATGGCAGCTATAAGACAAGTCTGGAGGAACTTATCAAAAGAAAACAAGAAAACATTCCTAAAACTCTCAGTGCTAATCTGGTTAATATTTACCAGTTTAGGTGAGTTTGAATGATTGACTGAGAAATCTGTGTTCTACCTTGTTGCAGCAGTTCTAAGAAGTGTACATTTTTTAATTGTTTAAATATGCGGTTACAATATAATGTAATTATAAAATTTTTTTTTATAAATTATACAATACAATGTATTTTGTTGCTCATATTTGAATTAAAATCATTCAAATATAATTTAATTTTATAAAAATTACAGCTCTCTCTTAACTGTTAACATGTTAACAAGTCTACTGTCATTATTATAATAAAATTGTACCAACCATTCTTTCTTTATATCTTCAGGGATTATGTACAAAAACCAGAGCATCCTTTCTCAGAGGACACCAGAACAGCTTGCCTGTCCACATTAGCAGATCTCAAAAAAATTTGTCACAAATACTTCCTCAGTCGAATTCACACAGAACTAAAGGTAAAGAACAAAAAATCATGTGCAGTTACAATAATTGTTTACCAGGAGATACTGTCCCAATCAATATTTTCCATCTCATTTTTTTATGTTAGATGATCAATGAGGAAGTGTTTAGTATACAGTAGTTTCGCCAGGTATCAGAATGTAGAAGTCAGCATTTGATAGATACTACAGCAATTTAACAAACTTGGATTTAGCCAAGCAGTTACTGTATCAACATCTTGTTGGACAGCATATCAATCAATGGTTATGATGAAATGTTAGCTTGAAAGGTCTAACATCTATTGGCTCAACCAGTGGCGGAGTGGTGGTCAATGAAATGATTCACTTTTTTAAACCTTTAACTTCAAATTTCAGATCTCAGATTTTTAGAGGTAGGTTGTGGAAAGGGTTAAGAAATGGCTTGGCTTTTGATTTTATTATAGGTATGTTGTTCCAGGGCCAACACAGAAGTCCTCACTTAGAGAAATCACATAATGTGCTGTACTTCCATGTTTGCAATGCTTCTTTTAATATTAACTTCTTAAATCAATTCTTACATTTTGGAAATAACCATAATGTTTATTTACACAGCCGCTGTACCATAAACTGTGGACTCAAGTTTGGTTTGCTGGACATTGTGAGGTTGGGGAGGAGCTGGTGAAGGCGCTTGAGAATAACATAGACAATTTCAAAGAGCTAAAGCCTGTCTGCAGAGAGGTCAGAACCAATTTTGCAGCATATCGTTTCTGACAGAACTGTAACATATTGTAAATCAGTGGTTCTCAACCAAGGGGGCAAGGGCTCACTGGAGGGCCTCAGCAAACTTACAAGGGAGTCTCAAGATGACATATTTAAATAAATAAATAAAAGAGCTGGAAAGCTGGAAAATGTGTCTCAACTGGAAAAATAACTTGCTGGGCCTTCTAATATTGTTGTAGGCAATGGGGTCACTTGGAAAAGGTTGAGAACCACAGTTGTAAACAGATGTATAATCTTACATTGGTTACTATTATTTTACAATTATAGATATATGAAGAGTGTGTGTCTGTATGTTTATAGGAGCTACTGGCTGAGCTGCATGTAGAAGTAATGGTTGAGTATGTGAGGCGAATGATGAAGAGAAAACTGAAACTGAAAGACAAAGAGCAGGAAGAAGCAGCTGCTGAGTTCATCTGCCACGACAGCAATAAAATGTGCTCTGTGTTTGCCAAAGTGGTGAGATCACATACAGACCCACACATGTATGCATATGAACATACTTTCATATAGGTTTTTTGAGAAATTTAGCATTACATATCATATTCATCAATGGATCCTCTGCAGTGGATGGGTGCCGTCAGAATGAGAGTCCAAACAGCTGATAAAAAAAAATCACAATAATTCATAAGTAATCCACACGACTCCAGTAGCATCAATTAATGTCTTGTAAAGCAAAAGGCTGCATGTTTGTAATAAACAAATTCATCATTAAGGCATTTTAACTTCAAACCAGGCTCAAAAAAAGAGTCCTCTATCCATAATATTGCTTTCTCAACTGAATCAGGAGAGAAATATGCACGGATCAAGCACCATTTACAAGTGAAAACAGTCCTAAACAGTTCTAAACAAATATGTCAATGGACTTTGAGAGGATGACAAGGGATGGACCTTTTCACTGGAGGAAGCGGTATGATGAATTATGGACTCATATTTTGATCAGAAGAAATAATTTAAAATTACATTCACTGCAGAGGATTCATGGGTGAGCAAATTTTCATTACATTTTCATTTTTGCGTGAACTATTCCCTTGATCATTGTTTTATCTCTATTTTGTTATTTTAACAAAGTTTTAATGTAAATATGTTTTTATCATAGCTGTTCACATTGGGAAACTTAACACAATAATTAAAGCCCCAGAGGCTTAGAGTGTTGTAGGGTTAATTAAGAGTTAAAATAGTTTGGAAAATTGAAAACATTTGTGTTTGATATGCTGACAGGAACATACAGTAGTGTAGTACTATTATTTTAAACACAATATGACATTGAGTCACAGACAAAATATGGCTCTATTCAATGTATTCTTTACATTGTTCTCTTTGCTTGAATTGTGGGAAAGCAGAGGGAAATTATGATGTAACATTAAAACTGAGTACCATTCTCTTCCCTAGGGATCCAGAGAGGAATGGCTCGGTCAAATACTGCCAAAATTATCAGAGATTCTGAGACTACAGGATCCTGGGAGTTTGCAACTTGAGATAGTTACTCTGGCAAGAGACTATCCTGACATTAGGTGAGTCTGTTAGATAGCAGCTGGCAAGATGCAGTTATTTTACCTTAGAGAAAGCAACTATAGTAAGATATCTTATTTTCAGTTTCATTCTGTATATAAATATCTACAGTTTTGCCATTAGGCAAATGAAAGATGAGTTTAGAATTCGATTATTAATCTTACAGTGTGTGTGCCTTGTTTCATCAATGTTCTTTGTTGTCATTCTTCACTAGTAAGCAGCATGTTCTTGCTCTCCTAAACCTGAAGACCAACCTTTCAAGCTCAGATCTGCGCAGGATCAAAGTGTGTCTGAGTGAAAACAGAGGCACACTGGACACAGAGTCCCCTACTTCCTTCTTTTCTAAAGTACTCGTCAAACGGAAAATCATCTGAATGCCCTGTTACATCTATAGCTAATGTGAAACAACTGTGATTCACACTGTAATAGATAATCAGTATTGTTATGTAATATCATGTTTATTATTAAGGAAACTCACAATTTTATTCTGATTTTACACTCTTCTTTAGAAGTACTCGTCATATGGAAAGTCATCTGAATTCAGTTACTATTAATTGCTAATGTTAAACAACTATGAAGCATACAGTACTGTGATACAAAATCAGTATTATCCATCCATTTTCCATGTCCTCTGCATGGTCGGGGTTGGAGTCTATCCCAGCGGGGGACGCACAGTATAATCAGTATTATTTTACGTAATATGTATTATTACAAAAACTCAGTCATATGATTGTTACAGTTTTTCTCAACTGATTTTACACTGTTCTCTAAAATTAAGGTCGAGAACAGTGTATTTTGAAAGTTGTATTTAATCAATAGCATTTTTGAATATGGCTAAGTTTTTTTAGAGCACTGAATTTGTGTAAAACCAGTTGAGAAAACCTGTGAAATGCCAACAGTCTAAATGGTAAAATCAAATGGAAAAAGGTGTATATATATTTATTCTAATATAAAGTGTTTTAGCTTTATTTGAATGCATGTTCACAGCTCTGAAAATAAACGTTTATTTTCAAAAATTATTTAAACATTCTGATATAATGCACTTAATGTTTCACTTAATGATTATGCAGCACGCCTTGATTCACAATACACAATACAGTACAGTAAATGTCATTTTAAACTAAAGAGAATCATAGCTGCTCAGAAAATAGCCTTTTTTTACCTTTGCTGTCAATGTAGGTGTATTTCATTTACCTATAGTAGCTGAATAAAATGTTTACATTTGTTAAAAACAAAGATCCATTATTGCAACTAGAAACTGAATTGTATCACTTTAACAAAAACCATAAAACTGGTTCATTTATTTGACATCATTTTACATTTTAACACGAGAAAGGCAAAACATTTTGATCTCATTCAGTTCTCTTAATAAATTATTCTCCTGACATTTTGGCTAATGAAAGTTTGCTATTGTGTTTTTCAGTGTTAATGGTAAAATGTTGTTTGCATCAGACTGCAGTATAAACTCAAGTTCCAGTAAAATGTAAGGAAGCGAGTATAGTGAGATGGAGAGTTTAACTAATACTAATACTTGTTTCTGGTATTTAGATTAATATTTTATGTTAGGAAGGATTTGTTTATGATGCTATGCTGTCAGTCAATTGTGTATCCTAGTCCCACCTTTCGACGCCCCCTAAGGGTCTGGCTGCAGACATGCACATGCACTCTTAGACTGAACATTGCACAAGTGACGTCACTTGCAATCTTTTTTTAATGAAATATCTCAACATTTTACAACAGTAACCAGGTGGTGAAGACAAGGAAAAAGATTACAATAACACTTGCAAAATAAAATGTACTTTAAGGCAAGGAGATTGAATATGAATGTAATGCACAAACTTTAACTTTTCCTCCCATAATGCAAAATGCTTAATGTGGCATAACGGACTATCATCTTTCAATTAAAGTGAAAGTGAAAGTGACGTGTATGATGTCCCATACTCTGCATTTACCCATCCAAGTGCACACACACACAGCAGTGAACACACACCCAGAGCATGAGAGCAGTGGGCAGCAATTTTTGCTGTGGCGCCCAAGGAGCAGTTGGGGGTTCAGTGCCTTGCTCAAGGGTCTCACCTCATGGTATTGAGGGCGGAAGAGAGCACTGGTCATATATTCCCCCCACCTACAATCCCTGCTGGTACCAAGACTCGAACCCATGACCTTTGGGTTACAAGTTCGACTCTAACCATTAGGCCACAACTGCCCCTCAATACAGGATTCGAACCTGGAATCCCCAGGTCAAGAACTGACACTAAGATCGCTGGGCCACAGGATCTTCCAGAAATTAAGAATACATAGAACTGCTAAAATTGAATTAAGAAAGTGATATTAAATGGACCAAATTCGGTATACAGTTTATTAAAAATTTTATGTACAGCAGTGATGTAATCCTATGAAAAAATTCCATGGCTCCTAATCGGTGGTCCTGTGTCGTACAGTGAGAGAAGTTCAAAGCTGTTGTCAGTCTTGCAACCAAAGATTGATCATCATGATCATCACACAGTGTGCTGCTACATTTACTGACCAGCCAATAAAATGGTTCAACTGTAATTTTACGAAGAAAACAATAATGACATAATTTAGTCAGCAATTCTTCTCCTCGAGTTACTGTCTTCCGCCAAGAGTACCCCAGAACGTAATCAACGTTGTTTACATACAGTAGACAGCGCGCGCATGCTGAACGCAAACAACGCTCAGTATGTTGATTACGTTCGGGGGTACTCTCCAGAGTTGTTATTATTATTATTGTTATTATTGTTTTCTTTGTGCACAAAAAGTATTCTGGTAGCTTCGTAAAATTACGGTTGAACCACTGATGTCACATGGACTATTTTACCGATGTCCTTGCTACGTTTCTGTGCGTTGATTGTGGTAATATCATTGCTGTCTATGGAGGGTCAGAGAGCTCTCTGATTCCATCAAAAATTCTTAATTTGTGTTCCGAAGATGAATGAAGGTCTTACGGGTTTGGAACGACATGAGGGTGAGTAATTAATGACAGAATTTACATTTTTGGGGTGAACTATCCCTTTAAGGTCTGTTTTTAACAAAACAAATGTGCATACACCACAAATTCAGTTCAATTTTCGTATGCGATTTGTCTGTTCAGACCAATGGCCAAAAAAAAAAGGCCAAAAAATTTATGGGACATGTTAAATTTTTTTGTTTTGCTTTTTCTTTTGCAGATTATTTAAATGTGAGTTGGGCAAACAGTTTTTGAGATTTCAGTATATTTTCCCATTTAAGTAGATAGCAGCTGGTCTTGCATACTCTAAATAGCTTCTTGGAGGCGTTGCAAATATGGTAGGTAAGGGATATAATAATCCTTTTTTGGAATTAACTTTACAAAAATGTTGCACTGCAACACAAGTGACTGTAGATTTTATATATTTGTCTTCTCACTGCCATAATCCATCAGAAAAGTTGTGGAAATACAGAGGTTTTTTCTTTTGCTTTTCAAGCAAATACTTCACTGTGTTTTGTCTGTCTGACAAATCATTTTATGCAATTCATTCATTCAGTTCATTCACATTAAGGAAAATTATTCAAAATGCTTCCTGGACCACAAAACCAGTCATAAGGGTCAATTTTTTGAAATTGAGATTTATACATCATCTGAAAGCTGAATGAATGAGCTATTGAACTATTTGAAAATCTGGAATCTGAGAGTGCAAATAAATCAAAATACTGAGAAAATCACTTTTAAAGTTGTCCAAATGAAGTTCTTAGCAATGCATATTACTAATCAAAAATTACGTTTTGATATATATTTACGGTAGGAAATTTACAAAATATCTTCATGGAACATGATCTTACCCTAATGATTTTTGGCATAAAAGAAAAATCGATAATTCTGACCCATACAATGTTTTTTTGGCTATTGCTGAAATATACCCAAGTGACTTAAAACTGGTTTTGTGGTCCAGGGTCACATTTGTTGATATAACTGTAAGCGAGGTCAAAGCACGTTTAGGGTGTGAAAATAAAGCGTGGTGTCTTCTAAACCAGCTCGAGGGCTTTCTAACAAGGTAAATAACAGAAACGTATTTAATGATTACACTGTCCTGAACCTTTCCTACCTCATTTTCTTTGAAAAAGGACCAATGAGGAAGTGTTTAGAGTAGTTTATATGATAATTACAAGGTCAGCAATTTAACTTCAACATTTTTCAACATCAACATTTACCATTCAATTTTTAGAGTTAGGGTTAATAAAAGTGCTTGGCATTTGATTGTGTTATAGGAATGTTGTTCCAGGGCCAACACGTCTGTCCTATTGTACTTGCATAAATAACATAATGCGCTTTACTTTCATGTTTGATGCTTCTTTTACTATTAATTTCATAAATTAAAAAATTTGAAATAACCAGACTTGTTTATCTGCACAGCCGCTGTACCATAAACTGTGGACTCAAGCTTGGTTTGCTGGACATTGTGAGGTTGTGGAGGAGCTGGTGAAGGTGCTTGAGAATAATATAGACAATTTCAAAGGGCTAAAGCCTGTCTGCAGAGCGGTCAGAACCGATTTGCAGCAAATTATTATGTGATGTGATGTTAATAGATGTGTAATCTTACTTAGTCTCTATAACATGTTTTTTTTATTGTTTTAAGATACAATTATAAATATATGAAGTGTGTGTCTGTGTGTTTATAGGAGCTACTGGCTGAGCTGCATGTAGAAGTAATGGTTGAGTATGTGAGGCGAATGATGAAGAGAAAACTGAAACTGAAAGACAAAGAGAAGCAGCTGCTGAGTTCATCTGCCACGACAGCAATAAAATCTGTTCTGTGTTTGCCAAAGTGGTGAGATCACATACAGACCCACACATGTATGCATATGAACATACTGTACACTCTCATGTGAACAAAACATGCAAAATACTCCACAAGTAGATTTTCATTCGCATTTGAATAGAGTACAAATACACATCATATTTTCTCCCAGCTTTCTTCCTGGAACAAACCACAGGAATTCCTGACTCGTATAGGAACACATGGTTGCCATTACGTTTTGGAATCTCAGAAACCTCCAGTTTCTCTCTTCTATTTCTGTTTCTCTGAATCATACTTTTAAAGTATCTAATGCAGAAAAACAAAAAGAAAGGAATCATGTTTGTGTATGTGTTTAATCACAGTTCCCAAATCTCCCTATTGGTGAAGCTGAACCCTGCTTAATTAAATAACAATTAAAGGTTATTTTATAGGCTTGTTTTAAGGTTTATTGTATCGGGCGAGTACTGGAAAAAGTGGTATCGGTGCATCCCTAGTTACAATGGTTTAGATAATAAAAAACATTTGTGTGCTTGACATGCTGCCAATAACATACAGTAGTCTGGAATTATTGTTGTAGACACAATATGATATTGAGTCACAGACTAAATATGAACTTTATCAATGTATTCTTTTTACATGATTGTCTTTATAATAGCATAATGAATTGTGGGAATGCAGAATGTAAGAGTTGCAAAGAACCACTTCAAATATATAGATTAAAATCTCAAAAGACAAAAAAAAAATCAAGTTTTCTAAATCAAGTACCATTCTTTTCTCTAGGCATCCAGAGAGGAATGGCTCTGTCAAATACTGCCCAAATTATCAGAGATTCTGAGACTACAGGATCTTGGGAGTTTACAGCTAAAGCTAGTTATTCTGGCAAGAGACTATCCTGACATTAGGTGAGTCTGTTAGATAGCAGCTGGCAAGATGCAGTAGTTTTACCCAAGATGCAGATACATGCCACAATCAAAACCACTCTTTGACCTGACTGACCAGAGTGATAATTTTTATCTGAATTATCTCAATTGTCTTGTTTTTTTTTTTCACATATAAGTACTACAAATTATAATGGTATACAAATACCATTTTAGACAGTCCAGTATGGATAGCATTAGCAGAATTAATTTTTTATTTATTTAGAATTTTAGAGATTAGAATTTGATAATCGGT